TTAGGGGCTCATGCAACTCTTATCACAATCCATACAGACATCAATCATGCAAAGCACATTTGTACATTCATTGCGAAAGCTTGGCTTTTATGAAGACTTTTGGAACTGGAGGGGTGGGAGCAGCCAGACTGGGGAGATGGGAAGAGATGAGGCTCAAGGGGAGTGTGGGGCGCCAAATATCTAGGACCATGAGTCTTCGAGATCAGGAATTCCCGTATTTCTTCTTCATGGTGGAAAGCCCACTAAGATAACTCATACTGACCCCCGATGGAGATGAATTGGGCTGCTAACGGCAGAGTCAGCAGTTCAAAACCACTAGTAGCTCCTAGGGAGAAAGACAGGGCTTTGTACTCCCGTCAAGAATGACTTGTGGTGACGATTGCGCAAGTCTTCTTAATATGACTGAATGATTAAATTATATGATGTGTGAAGTCTGTACTGATAAAACTATTGTGGGAGAAAAATGGGGCTTTCTACTCTCATAAGCAGTTACAGTCGCGGAAACGCACAGGAGCGGTTTTGCCCTGTCCTGTAGAGTTGCTACGAGTTGGCATCCACTTGATGGCAGTGAGCTGGTTTGAGTTGGATGGTAGAAAGCCAAGGGGAGACCCTGCCATCTGATTTGCATCTTAAAGCGATCACCTGGAGTGTGGCTCTGAGGGGTCAAGCAGGGAGGTCAGTGGGGAGGCTGCTGGCAGAGCCAGCTGAGATGCTGGGAGGTAGAGGCAGGCCGTGGTATATCTGCGTATTTTGGCAACACAGTCAGGACACAGATAGACTGGCAGCAGGTTAAAGAAAGGACAACTCTCAGTCGCCCTGCCTTGAGGATCATGCTGAGCCGCAGACATGAAAGCCGAGTTATTCAACATATTGGGCAGGTGCTTGTGGTAGTTAACATAATTAGAGTAGGGGTGGAGTCTAGCCTGTAAATCAGGTCAAAGCCTGATGGTGCCTTCTTGTGGGCGGGACCTCTGCATAAAGAGAGTCCTGGGAACCTCCCCTCTCTCTCTGCTTCACCTTCCGGTGAAGCCACTTGAAGGCCTGCACCAACCCTGGAGATGCTTCCACCACCATTGGATCCATTCGACTCTGCACCCACCGGCCTGTGATCTCCCTGCATTCTGCATCATTGCTTGGGGCTGCGTGAGTCTGAAGAGGGATTTGCTAGTATCAGACTTAAGGACTAGTGTCGGACTTATGGACCTGATCTGGACTGGGCTGGGATGTTTTCTTGATATATAATGACTTCTTGATATAAAGCTCTTTCTTACACATTGATGACTGTCACTGGATTTGTTTCTCTAGTCCACCTAGCCTAACACAATGGGACATGTGGAAAGTGGCGCCACAGTTGGCCGACTTGCTTTCTCAGGCCCCTCCGCCCCATGGAAGACACCAAACATGCTGTTAAAGAAGCCAGAAGATGAGTCCTCGTGGCTTAGAACAACACTTTATAGTCTCACCTTTTCTTAGGATCTGAAGTCAGAAATGAGCCTGAGTCCATTCGTTTCCTAAAGCGACCGTACCGAATGATGTAGCTAAAGGCAACCCCCACACCTATTCCCTTGTTTCTGGGGCCAGAAATGCTCACTTTCACGGGGCTGAAATCAAGTGCTTGGCTGGACCACGCACGCACCCTCTTAAAGGTCTAGGGAGTTTGGGCCATGGCTGTGGCTCTTCCAGTCAGTCTTTGTGACTCCCATCAAAAGATGGGGTTGTTGCTGTTGTTATTGTTGTGCCATTGTGTCTTTTCCAACCCATTGTGACCCTGTGCCCAACAGAACGAAATGCTGCCCGACCCACACCACCACCCTCACAATTATTCCTAAGCTTGAACCCATTGTGGCAGCCACGGGGTCAAGAGGGCCTTCTCCACTTCACCAAACATGATGTCCTTCTCTAGGGACTGGTCTCTCCTGACAACATGTCCAAAGTATATAAGACTAAGTCTCCCCGTCCTTGCTTCTAAGGAGCACTCTGGCTGTCTTTGTTCCCAGACAGAGCGGTTTGTCCTTTTAGCAGCCCCACGGTACTTTCATTTTCTTCTCCAGCACCACAATTCAAATGATTAAGACTATGCAAATGTGAGGTGTTTGGCCCACCAAGAGAACTGACTAACTTGATAACAATGTAACTGAGGTACCCAGCACCCCTGTGGGGTGGGACCATGCAGGTAGGATGTAGAGAACTCTAGGTGGTCAGCTTTGTCATCTTGTTCAGTTTGTAATTTGCCAACACAAAAGTGAAAAGAGGCATCTCATTACCATCAAGAAAGAAAGGAGTGGAGTGTGTCCTTTGGACACTGAGAACCCTGTGCCGAACCTCCTACATCCAGGAGAAGGCGTAATGACATCAGAGACGGCGGAGAGGCTGCAGAGAAACGGCAGCAGAAGAGGCAGCAGTACCGTAAGACAGATATGAGGGGGGGGGGGGCCTCCTATCCACTTCAAAACCAGCAATGGGGCCTCTTGTGTCTTTCTGTCACCCAGTCTCCCTCAGCCTCCTTCTTAGAGGGGTTCCTTGCATTTAGGGCTCACCACATCATCCAGGATAATCTCCCAACGCAGGATCCTTCATCGAATCAACATTGTAACCATCAAAGTCTGCTGCTTTTAGTGTGATAAAGCTTTTCCTTGACTTTTTTCCTTTAATAATAGTGGTCTCATACAGTATTTGTCTTTATGAATTAGCTTTGCTCAGCATGACATCTTCCAGGTTCGTCCACACGTCACGAGGTGTTTGACAGTTTCATCACCCCTCTTCAGGGATGCATAGTACTCCATTGTGTGCGCACACTAGTGTTTATGACCCCTTCCTCCATTGCTGGGTATTTTGGTGGTTTCCTTCTGCCTGTTGTGTATAGTGCTGTGATACACATGGGTGTGCAGATATCTGCTCTTGTTTTCTCCTAATTTCTTTTTAAAATCAGTTTTATTTGAGCTATAATCAACACACTGTACAATTCAATAGTTCAATCACCCTTCTTTCTGCAGGGTATATGCTGAGTAGAGAGGGGGCTGGATCTCGTGGCTTCTCTATTTCCATTTGTTTGGGGAAGTGCCGGACATCTTTCCACTGCGGCGCTCATACAGTCTTACCGTCCCACCAGCGGGTGTGAGGGTGTGAGGGTTCCGATCATGCCACATCCTCGCCAGCATTTGCTAGTGTGTTTGAAAACGCTTACGACCAGGGCCGGTGTGAAGTGGTAGCTCATCATGGTTCTGATTTCCACCTCTCGAATACCTAGTGATCGCACTAGGTGTGTGTTGGCTGATTTTCCTAACTTTTTATTCTACTTTATTCTATTGCGTAGGATTATGCTCTTGGAGGATTTGGAAGACCTACCTAAAATATGGTCACTTGGAGAGGGAAGTTTCTGAATGGCGAAGAAGACTCTCTGTGACTGTCTAGAGCCTCCTTTAGGATGAAGGGTTCCTTACCCCAGCCGTGGGGAGGGCTGCTGGCTGGCAGACAGATTTCAACTGTCAGCTGGGGAGTCAGGGACAAGATTTGCCAGCACACTGCCGCCTTTTGTTCCACATTTGTCACTGGCTAGTTTGACTGTTTCCAAGGGCCCAGCACATGCCTGGCCTGTGAATTACTATTTGAACCCCACTTCGAGAAAAAAAGGAGCCCTGGTGGGGTAGTGGTTCCACACTGGGCTGCAACCCGGAAGGTCAGCAGTTTGAAACCACCGGTTGCTCTGTGGGAGAAAGATGACGCTTTCTACTCCCATAAAGAGTGAACAGTCTCTGAGTGAACAGGGGCCATTCTGCCCTGCTCTACAGGGTCACCGGGAGTCAGAATTGGATCGATGACAGTGAGTTGAGTATTGAGAGCTTTCTAGAAAATTGATAAAGGAGTGACCAATTGGATAGTAGATGTCAGTATAATGAATTCTAGAATTCTTCTTTTGTGCACCCACCATGTTGTATGTACTTACTGTGTCTTATGTCTTCTTTTTTGAGTCTGCATGTAATTTGTCATTAATATTGTTAGAAAAAAATCTTTAAAAATCAGTATAAATACCACTTAGAACATTGGAATACTTCAAACGCCCACTAAACAGCCTGTGTTGCCGTTGTTGCTCCGTTGGCCAGCCTCCTAATAAACAGGTTTTCCCTTTCTCTGTTCCACTCTGAGCGGTTGTTAATTAGGCTCATTGCTCCAGGGCACACGCCCAATATTCAGGGTGATGAATTCTCTTCAAGAATTGCTTCTGATCCAGGGAGCCGGCTCACGGAAGGTTAGCTCCCTTTCCTAGAGACAGCACCTACACAGTCACGGTCATGGGTCCAGTGGGGGAGATAAAGACCAACCCAGCTTAGGAGCCCCGTGAGGTTGGCTCCAGCCTTTGTTGAGACAGACTGCATTTCAGCCCAGGTTCTTCCACGGGCAATGCGGTCCACGAGCACTCCCTGCCAAGCTTCCTGCATCCAACTCCATCTCAAAGCCGGCTTCTTTTTGTTGTTTTTTTGGGGGGGAGGGTAATAATCTACTTTGTAATAATTACTATTTCCATTCATTCAATGAAATTAGTCTCGTTAGGTTTCCTACCAAATTGGGTCTGATTGCCCTGTTAGAGAATATAATTGCTCCTTGCATTTTTGTTTCCTAGTTTGTAGCTCTACATTTGGGTACTCATTTCACGAAAGTGTCCTCATTGTGCCCTGATCCAAGAGAGCATTATTGACCACCTGCCAAGTGCCAGGAGCTTTGCGGAAGCTCTGGGGAGACCGTGGGAAAGGCAAACAAACGAGGTCTTTTGCCTTCTTGGTGCTTATGGAGGCCCCTGAGACCTTACATCAACGGGAGCTGCTGAGTGGAGTGAGCAGTCAGAGAAGACCACTCACTTCTGAGATGAAATGCAACCCAGGTCTGGGTACCCCAAACCAAAATGAATCCACTGCCATCAAGTTAATTCCAACTCACAGTGACCCCAGATAGTGCTTTGGAGGCGGTCAATCCTTCCCGGAGCAGACGGCTCCAGCTTCCTCCCACAGGGTGGCTGATGGGCTTGAAGCACTGACCCTGCGGTTCCCAGTCAAGCTAGAGGACAAGCCCCACCAGGAAGAGAGAGTGAAAAGAGACACCAACAAAAGGAATTTCAAGGGTTTGATAAATAGACTTGGAGGTATGTGTTCGATGTGGGAGTGGGCTTGGGGCCGAAGGTTAGTGTGTGTGGGATAAAGGTCAAACTACGAAATAAAGGCAGGTCAGATGGAGTCCAGGGGCAAACAGCAGGGAGAGAGAAGGCTGGCAAAGTCCTCAGACACCAGGCCAGGCAGGGTCTGATTAAGGTAAGGAATTCTATCCAGGCCTAGCTAAACAGTCAGGTGGAGCCACGGAAGGTTGTAAGTGGCTAGGTCTTGTGCCTTAAAGAGCCCTGTTGGCTGCAGTGCAGAGAATGGATGGGAGTGGATAAAATACGGGTAGAAGTTCAGGGAGTCCTGGTATAGAATCGGTGCTTAAGAATTAGTGAAGATGCCCGGCTATCAAAAGATATAGCATCTGAGTCTTAAAGGCTTGATGTTAAACAAGCAGCCATCTATGAGGGAAACAAATAAGCCCACATGGAAGAAGCACACCAGCCGGTGTGATCATGAGGTGATCACACCTTGATACAGGATCAAGTATCAGGTATCAAAAGATCCCAAACAAAACAATTATATCGGTGCAAAAGGGGGGAGTTGGAGTAGAGATCCAAAGCCCATCTATAGACAATTGGATGTTCCCCCACAGAAAAGGGTTACAAAGATCCCCTTACAGAGGGGTCTCGGGGAGGAGATGAGCCAGTCAGGGTGCGATGTAGCAAGGATGAAAAATACAACTTTCCTCTAGTTCCTAAATGTTTCCTCCCCACTTCCACTATCATGACATGAATTCTACCTTGCAAGTCTGGCTAGACCAGAGGATGTACACTGGTACAGATAGGAACTGG